GACAAAGACTGAGCCACCAATGTGGCATTTGCTGGGCACACCAGCTACCTTGTGGCTAGTTAGTTGTATGGCTCATTTCTGTAACGGAAGCACCAGCACGTTGGCCCTATTAAGAAGACTCTTCGTCTGAGGACATGAACCTGAAGTTCTTGCCATGACACTATCAGCCATGATCTTGTCAACATGGTGTCCCTTCACAATAGAACACTTCTAAGTAAGAAACTCATTTCAACTAAGAAATGTAGCAATGGGACCACAAATAGAAAATGCATAGGTCTTCCCAAGAAGTGTCCCAAATCATCCGCAAGTGTCTGGTTTGAAAAAATAATAGAATGGCCTGCCAAAACTTAGTAAGTGGGAGAAGAGACTGAGGTGCCATCATATGAGATGTAGCAGACGCTTTGAGCCAGTGGTCAGCATATGATATGTCTCCCACTGTCAGAACACATGGGTCTAGAAGTAAGGGATAAAATACGACTCACTCCTCGCAGTATTATACAATGGCTCTATCACACAAGTTTTAATCTCATCCCAAAAATCTTGGGCTATGCTGACTTAGAGCTTTTGATTCACAAGGACAAAATGCTTCTACTAAGGCACAGAAATGGTTCAAATGTATAAATGATGAGCTGGATGCCTGCATACCTTGGATTCCTCTGACGCTAACCACAGACAGATTCCTGTACTGAGTGGGGTGATTGGTCTACAGTATAGCACCTGGGAAGTCATGGTTCAGAGTTTATGGCCTCAGCCACTGACAGATTCTTCTTCACAATGTAGAAATTCTTTGCCAAAACCCCTGCAATTTTGTGGAAACTGTAAATATGCTCCACAATTGTTTTTCTTTTTGATGGGAGCTTTGCAAGTGGCCAATCCAAGAGTGTTATTCAGATCTCGCTGCTGACTGCCTGCTGCCCTGTACCCATGGTGGAGACATCGCCATTTGCACTGTAGCAGATGGCTGTATTGCAGCTGGCTATTTTGAGTGTTCTTATAGCTCTAACATCCCTAAAATATTGTCAAATGCACTGCACTTTCTAAGGCTTCTAGTAAAGGACCTAAACACCAGAAGTTTAACCTCTAGAAGGTTGTATTTTTATTAAATGACTAGAATACTGTGTACAGTATTTTATTAATTATATAACTGCAGAGACATAGGAAATTTAGTATTGAAACTATAAAAATAAGCATTTTTAGACACTTTTCTGACTATATCTGAAATTCATAGTTTCTCACAATTCACAGGTGCTCTAGGAATGTAACACCTGCAAGATTCCGGGGTCTACTTTAGACAGTTACAGGGATAGTGGGTTGCTGCTCCATAACTGGGTCAACAAGGACTACATCAGGAACCTCTGCGTTGCCTCTTAAAACTCACTTAATAGTAAAAGGTAAGCAACACAATTGCTAAGTACTCCAACTATTTCACAATGCAGAATATCTTAGAATGTAAAAAACCCTGAGAGCTGATGTGGTGGCCAGAAACAAAGAAAAATCAAATAAAGGAAGAAATTATAAATATGAACTACAGCTTCAAGACCTAGTTATAAAAACAATTATCAAATAATTATGTAAAACCACTTTATTGCTTGTTCTGTATACCTCTGTACAGAGTAACTAATTTTTCATCCTCTTATTATATTATTCAAGTGGAGCTAGTAGTAGTGAATTTTATAGTTTAATCTTCAGGTTATACAACATCTAGGAGGCATTGGGAAGAACCTAAAATAATTAACATTAATAAGGGTAATGGTAACTGGTAAAACTCTGTTTTTCCCCTTTTAGGGGAGAATGTAAAACTTTGTAGGAAACATAGTTAAATTTGCATAATGCTGTTACTTTACACTTAAAGATGTGCAGAAGGGTAGGAGTAGGTGCTTAACAGCCCAAAGGAAGGGTACTTCTGGCCACTCACCCTCTGCCTGTTCACACAGACACACACACACACACACACACACACACACACACACCCTCCCATGGCCTGCTGTTTTCTGGAAGTTGGGTTTCTGAAAACTACATTTCCCAGGCAAAAGTCATTCCCAGGAAAGAAATTTGTCAAGCAGACTGTCTTAGTTACTCTTCTCTCATTGCTGAGACAAATACCCAACACTCAAAATGAAGGAAGGAAAGGTTTATTTAGCTCACAGTTAGTGGAGGTTTCAGCCCATACTCAGCTGGCTCCAAGGCAGAGCAGCACATGGCAGAGGGCAGCCTTTCATGGCGGCAGCAAAGAGCAAGAGCACAAGGGAGGGGTAGCAGCAGCTCAAGCAGCTAGCTTCTCTTCCCACCTTACATGCAAATTACCTGCCCCAGGGCAGGTGCAGCAGCCACACCCACAGTTATCAATCACAAACTCTAGAAGCCACCCCAAGACTGCATGAGGCTTTGGGGGGACACCTAGACACAAACCATAACACAGACACTTTGGGCAATTAAAAGCAAGCCCGGATTCCAGCAATGGGGTAGCGCTCAGCAGCTACCACAGTGACAACTGGAGTGAAGTCCTTCCAAACTTCCACAGACCAGAGCCGGAACCTATCTGAAAGTTTAGCTTTGGTCCACACAGCACAGCACCAGACGAAGAATCAGCTGCAACCTCTCCAGTAATGGAAGGGGAAGGCTACCATCGCTCCTTTCTCCTCTGCTTGAGCCCCGCTGTGTTCTTCCAGCCTTCCTTGTACATAACCAATGCTTATTTTAATCTATTTTGAAGTATCTGGATTGGTTTCTGATTTCCTGACTAGAACTTTACCTAATTATCTATCTCTTGAACTCTTGCATTTTTTAGTTTTAGGATTTCTATGTTTTCATTGCTCAGTTTTGTGCAAATATGCCAGGCCACAGTTTCCAACTCCAGTTGCGAGCTTGGGCTTTATCTCCTTGAACATACTGAACACACCTTGTTTCTCAGGTATCCAGTTGCTTCTGGCTGTTAGACACTGAATTTTAAAATAATTTGCAGATAATGTGAGGCCTATGATGACAGGATCTTCCTCCAAAGATTTGAAGGATTTGAGTGCTTTAGAATCATGGATCTCTGTGATCTTGGGTTAAGATTTAAAATTTTTCTGTACCTACTCCAAATTTGCAAAGCTTTGCTATAGTCAGGCCGACTGGTTTAGCTACAGGTTACCTTTACTCCTATGATGTAGTCCTTCTGCTGTTTCAGCCCCAGTCTCCCACCTGCACTTCCTCCATGCCCCAAATTTCTGCTCCCTAGGAGTTCAAGATGACAAAAAGAACAGCTTGAGCTAAGTCTTCCAGGTGGCTCACATGTCCTAGGGAAAGAGACCCCAAAATGCTAAGTTTACTCCTCTGGACAGTCCCCTCCCCTTCCAGATGAAGCCCAGTAACTCGTACTTGAGCTTCTGACTTTGATCCTTTTCCAAGATGACTTTTGTTTCTTTTTTCTTTTCTTTCTTTGTGGAACTGGGGATTGAACTCAGGCCCTTGCACTTGCCAGCAAGGCGTTTATTCCACTGAGCTATCTCCCCGACCCCGAGATGACTTTTGTATTTTGTTCTCCATTTTCTTCAATGAGAAACCAGTCTGCTCTGATGGCAGCCAAAATCCTAGTTACCTTTTCATAATCACCATATGCAGAGGACAGCAGCAGTTTGAGGCAAAAATTCCAGTGGAAGCAATTAAGATTCTTGTTCTCTTTTACTAATGATAAAGAAATAACAAGAGACTCTCAGAGCTTTTTGGTATATAATCTTACATTTTCATTCTGCCTAAAGCTCAAAATAAATTTATTTAAGTTGTAAACCCTGTTAAGGTTTGGTTTTCCGCTCAGATTTGTGAAAGACTGAGATACAAACTTCAAAGAAAGTCATATGGTATGGCCAATACTTTTTCTTAACCTCATTACTGAATTTTAGCAGATAAAAATATAATTAGATAATAAGATATAATAAAAACTCATTATTAATATCTTGACTTGGGCCAAAGTCTTTTTCCAAGGTAGAGTGAAACCTGAAAAGTCTGAGGACTGTAACGCATGGAAGCAGGAACAGACACTGACAGAAAAGAGTTGGGGCAATACAAAGGGCCAGGCATTCCACTGTAATAAAATTCAAATCTCATCTGCTATTACTACTGTTACCAGATTGATAGTGATGATGTTTAATGTTATTAAGATTTCCTGTGAAGGGCTGGCGAGATGGCTCAGTGGTCTAAAGCACCTACTTGGAACAAGCTTGGCAAAGCACAGGGACCGCGGTTCGATCCCCCAGCACCACATGCCAGCCAGCCGCGCCCCCTGATGGGCTGAGCTGGCCACACACACAATAAATAAATAAATAAATAAATAAATAAATAAATAAATAAATAAAAAGATTTCCTGTGAAGTACAGTCAATATTCTCCTCCTATTATTTCTCTTTATTTTAATTTTTCCTAAGATTTTAGTAAATCAAAGGGTAATAATAACCAGCCCGCAACTCACAAGCATATTTCCACGCATGCATTTATCAGGGTACCCTTACCTTGCCATGTATGTGCTATCTTATATCAATCTAACTACATTTGCTCATTCTCCAGGAAAAATATCACTAACAACCTGGAAAAAGACAGAATAAGTTAGGAATCTCCCCTCATTAACAAAACTCCATAAAACAATAAACAGTAATCATAATAACTACGGTGACTGAAAATGAAATGATCAGACCGAACCATGGCGGTCGCAGAACAGCACTGCCAAGAAGCACTGCTCAGCGCGCCAGGATGCTTTCCTCACTCTCCCCCACCAGTCACAGCTCTATGACGACATCAGTGAGTCACAGCTCTATGACGACATCAGTGCGCTTCACAGGTTGCAGTGAGACGGATGCACTTGGGCTTTCTTCCATGACTCAACCTCAGATTTCAGAAGCTCAAGTGGCTTCATATACAAAAATACCCTTTCTCAGTCAGGAAAGGCCTTATGTTTTGGGGCTTTGCTTGTTTCATTGAGACAGGCTCTCACCATGTAACTCAGTTTGTGGCACTCACAGTGATTCTCCTGCCTCGGCCTCCTGCATGCTGGGATTGTAGGCGTGCACCACCATGCCTGACAGCCTCATGGTTCTTGTTACACATTTTAACATAAGCTTTTATTTGTTAATTCCTTTCTTCTCAAGTCATAATATATTTTATCATGAGCTAAAAGATCTCATAATGAAAAACAGTGTCATAATACAATTTCTTTCCAGGAAGCCAAGTTCATTTTTGATGAACTTTTCTCCCCTTGTAAAACTAGAAGTTGCGTTTTTCAAATAAGAATTTTAATTTAAATAGATTTCCTCATCCTTTAGCTACCAAATACATGGAACTACAAACAAAACAATTATAAATCAGGTTCTATAAAACATCTTTGGTTTGGTTTTAACAGAGATTTATATAATTCCACAAAGAAATCAGTGTTACATTTTTCCTAACAATCAACTTCAAGCATTAGGCATAATAAGCTAAATGGAGAAAAATCATGATTAAATGCTAAAAATGTAAACACAGAAAAGAGTAAATATGAAAACAAACTTATTTTTAATCATTTAATTACTAAAAATTTAGCCAGAAAATTGCATCATTTTAAACAAACTGTCTATACAAAAACAAGGGCTCATTTAGCAACATCTTTTTTTAATCTGTGTTCCAAATAACGTTCCATCTATTGAACTTAGTCTTTCCTAGCAAACATTAGAAAATATGGATGCTTTTCATGTTTAATATTCCATAAAACAGAATTGGCTTTTGTTTCTGAAATTGCAGTGATTTTGCTACAGGGAAACTTTAAAATTGTTCCCTTATGACTATTTCGATTAGCCATTTCCCAAATCCAATGCAAAAACAACAACAAAACACAGTGCTGATTTACCAAAAGATTCTTGTCATTAATTTCATTTTACCAGCCCAAGTACAAATTCAGAGAAAAGCTCCTTAAGTCCTGCAGTTGCAAATTCCTTTTGTAACTCATCCAATGTTGAATATTCTTTGACTTCAAATGCCAGAAACCTGCATTATACAAGAGAAACTCATGAATATGCCTAGATTTGTCAGAGTATAATTATCGATTCAGTTGCTTTTCCATCTGCAATAATACTAAATTATACCTTTTGTGTTCCATCTGTACTTTTGTCTCAAACAGTACACTCATCATTTTCTCTTTGCATTTCTTTCCATTTGAGTCCACATCTACTTTGGAGGTTTTCTGAAGAACCAGGTATTCCTAAATCATAAATCAGAACATTAAGTACATATATCTTACTCAGAATTGCTAAGACTTAATTTTTAAAAAGCCACAAACCTACAGGCTTCTCTTCACGCTACAAGAGTACTCTCTTTCGGAACCAGTCACTAAGAGAGCTACACAGTGGTTTTACATGCATGGCAGAATAATGTCCTGGTAAATACGGGAATAAAGAGCGATATAATCAAACTATCAAGCTTAAATCTGAACTGGCCTATCTACCAACTCTGATTCTGGGCTGGTTACCTAAATCCTTTGCACCTGAGTTAACCTCCTCTGTAAAACAGTACTCGTACAGGACCCTGCTGCAGGAGAAGCTGTGATGACTGACTGAAATGACACATACGTGCACTTACAGGAATGCCTGACACGCAGCGCTGTCGCCCAGTAACAAGCATAAGGTGCTGCTGCTAACTGAGCACCAAAAGGAGTTAGCGGGCACACGGCACTCACCATTAGAACCTCGCCTGCACATCCCCCATCCTAGTAAACAGTCTTACAAAAATTTAACGGAGGAATTCATATAAAGTGACATTTTAAAGACAGCATTAAAAGTTCTTAGAAATGTACCATTTCTCTACATTAGCAGAGTTCTAGTAATATGTGAAAGTGCTTGTTAAGAAATTGATGGTTCAATCTGAGTAACAATATTTACAAAACAGCTGCATTTATCCTACTATGCCTGAGCTGGCTTAAAGAGAAATCTGAGCCTTTAAGGTAAATATAGGCAAGAAAATTAATTTGTCTCATTTTTGTCAGCCAGTATTTTACTCAAATCAAAGTTTATAGATATACTACAAACTGCCTTAAGATATGTAGCTCCTTGGTCAGGTTCCCATCCAGAATATATATTTAATTTGAATTATTATTTCATCTATCTACTTAGCCCAGCATGAATCTGCTTAACCAAAAGCCAAAGTAGTTTTATAATAAGAACTCACCTTGAAAAAGCCAGATTGTAATTCTACAAGTCTTTAAAATTATAGATTGTTCACACTAAATCTGTTTTAAGTAAATTCTACTGGAATGACTCCTGACCCAACCTATCGGCAATTACAAAACTTAAGTGATTTGTAACTCTTTGAAGACTTAAAACATAATAAGCAGTGTTTCTTGCCTGCTGCCTCATAAAACAGGTTAGAAGGGTTTAGAATAAGAATGTGAAAAATCTAAAGCGGATGATGGTTTTGAAAGCAGCTGCTGAGACAAGTCAGGTGGAAAACAGAAGTTAGGAAGGAGGTGACAGGCCGGCGGCTCTAATGACTCTCCTCCTGCTGACACTAAATCTCAGTTGTAAGGGACAAGCCTCTCTTTCCAGCTATTATAGGTACAAAATTAAGAGTGTCAGAACGTATTTGTAATTATCAGCAAGTTACAAATTTTGGATACTACCTACAAATACACACTGTGCTCTGCCTAACTATGGAAAGAAATAGTACTATGCACAAACAGTGCACATTTACAAAGTTGAGCTTCATGGATAATTACAAAACAAACATTTAAAAAAAAAAAAACAGTTTTTTTTCTTTTTAATAGCCTGTCACTTTCATTAAGTGGCATGATTTTTAAAATATATGTATCCCTGAGCTTTGCAAGTTTATAGTTGCAATTAGGAATTAGGCATTCTTGAAAAAGAAAATGAAAATCCATTAATGTGGTAATCGGGAAGGCAGAAGCATCTTAATGATTAATCAATCCCATTGTCATAAACACACTTAAAGACGCACACTTTTTAAGCATAAAATTAGCGATTCACATTGAACATTTAACATGGCACCTTGATGCTGTTTCTGTCTCCTTGCAGTAAAATCAGTATTATTTTGCCCAGGAACATCAGTCTTCCCGTCAGCCTTAAATCTGAAGCCCACTTCTCCACAGTTTTGATGTATTTTGTCCTTGCTCTCATGTGATCTAAATGCAAAAGAGTTACCCACAATCCATCATCCACAGTTGGGCTTATTGGGAAAGTGCACTGCTCACTGCCACGTCCAGCTTCCAGCCGGCTGAGAACAAGCCTGAGATTCTGCTGGATCCAAAGCACAAGCTCGTGAACCATGGGCTCCGGCAACAGACGCTCCGCCTGTTGAAGCAGCTTCTCTTTCACAGCCACACACTGGCCTCTGGTCAAATGTTCCGAGTTAACTGAGATACCGGGCAGACATGAAGGGTAATTGACCGGTAAATGGAACACCAACTCTAAGGGTATATCCTCATCCGAAAGGCCTTCAGCTTTTGTGTGAATTCTGAACACGGTCCCATCTTTCTCTGGAAGGCATCCAAATATAATCATTAGTTGCACATAATTCAATTTGACTAGAATACTAATAAGTTAGAAATTTTCTTTCAAATGTCAGTTTATTTCTCATGGGAAAACTGTCTTACTATACGAAGAGCCACACAGTACTAAGAAAGCTACTTAATGCATGTGTATGGTAGGAAGAAATAATCAGCATTAGGCACTTACCTGGCATTTATACTATCTCCTCCCATTTTTATTAAGTCACCAAAACTTATTTTCATTATATATCTTTTTTCTAGCCACACTTAGTTGATAAACTAGAACTCACTCATAAAAACGCCTATGAACTTTCAAAGAAAAACTACCACAGGCATATATAAACATCAGTAACTACAAAGGTGTATATTAAAGCCTCAAGGTCACTGTGTGGGCACACTAGAATCGGAGGCTGCACTATGGTAGATACGCTGGTGACTGTGTGACACCGTAACTGCCTTTGCTCCCTTTAAATGTATCACTATCAGTGTAATGTGAAGCTGTAAGGCAAACTGAAATTGAGTGGATATCAGTTCAGCCTCTTCTGGCCCAGGAGAAGGGGCGTGCACAGGATACGAGACGAAATATTCTGCTCTCTTTCAGATTTGCTCAGCTTCACCCCTCTGATGTGTTCCACACCACTTCACCCCACTTTTCAAGGAGTTGATAAAACGTCAGGCCGATTCATTCTGCAGCAGGCAGAAGTGCACAGATCAGAAGAGCAGAGAACAGAACTGGGTGCAAATGAATCTCTTTGAGGTGAACTTGCCTCTCTACCTACTTCTTTCCCGTACACCCTTGTTTCATTCTCTTTACAAGGGAAGCAGTCAAATCCTTCTCATTTTCATACCTAGATTGCTGCTTAACAGCCTCAACAACTGAAACCTGTATATCCCCACCATAAAGAACCCAACAGAATATTAAAATTGCTTCCTACTCATCCGACTCCATGTATGCAGAAGCCATTGTTATAGATTCTGATTCATACAAGACCAAGCACATCAGCTACACAGAATTTTTCTTTAAAAGATGTCAGTACCACCTGCAAGGAGGCACTATTTTAGGACATTACTCAGAAACACAAGCAGCAACCATTCTAAAGACCATTATTTATAACTGGAGTTCGCATTACATAAGTAAAATGTGTATTACGTAAAAATTTTCCAAATCTAACATGGTACATTCCTCTGAAATCTATCACATTTCTTAAAACCTCTGCCATTATCTTAAAAAAATGTGTTCTATTTTTAAAGTAGACTCCTTGTATGTCAGTTAGACGAACATATTTTGTTGTGAAATGGGCATTATTGTGGACCTGCAAATAACATGTGAACATTAGACTGAATAAGCCCACCAGCTTTCACTGAGGGGGTCCACATGTTCTCAAGAGGAAAAAGTACAACTTTTAAGCATCTTCATTCATTCATTGTTCAACAACCATTCTTTTCAATCACATACTATTCAACAAGTATCCACTGAGTGCGTGCCAAGGCCCAGGTATTGGTCTCTTATGAAAATCAATGGTTAGGATGTGAAACTTATCATATTAACTCAATCCAGTGTTCCAAACAGGACACATCTTCTATCCTTAAAAGTGTCTTTATTTAGCAATATATATGCATGTACAGGTAAGTCACAGAAATGATATGTGTGTGCTTTGGGAGATAATTCTCCACAGTCTGGCATTTCTGAAGGTCCTCTGAGGAAGGCCTTGGGAGCTCCAGTGTAGAACCTTTGCATAATAGGCAACCTTGGCTTCTCTCTCTGCTCAGAAGGCAGATTTGTTTCCAGACCTCCACAATAAAGAACATATGTCTTCAGGACAAACGTTGGCTAGAACTGCTAGTAACTCCCTTATAAGATTGGAAGACATTTTTTTTTCTGTTCAAGTTTATTTTTAATTGATATATATGGGACACCATATGATATTTTGATAAATGTATAAAATATGCATGAAATGTTTAAATCAGGCTGAACAGATCTCAAGACTAGAGGGCTCCTAGGTTCAATGCTCCCCAGCTGTGACAAACCTCTATTGTATGCACACATCCACTTGAAACTACCCCCACAACACCCATGGAATGGAGCACCAGGAGAACCAATGGGTGGTGAGTCCATGCTACCTGCTGTGCAGTGAGGAAAGCTGTATGACTCCATGTGGTTCTTGTCTCCTTCAGGCTTAATCTGTGGAACTGTGTGGTGGCCCAGGACTGCTGCTTAGGAACTGTCTAACCACTTGACAACATACACATTCTTTCACCATATTCCAGGGTTGGGGATTTGGTTCAGCAGTAGAATGCTTGCCTAGCAAGCTGGAAGCCCTGGGTTCAGTCCTTGGCACCAAAAACAAAAAATAAACCTCCCCTAAAAAACAACTCAACCAAAAACACAGTAAAATCAAAAAAGACCAAAAACAAGCAAGGAAACTTAACACATTGCTCCCTCTTTTTCATTCTTCCTCAGAGAAAGCATTTCTCTCCCTTCCACAGAAAACTGTACTATCTCTAAGACATTGTTCCAACTGTCACCTCTTATGCTTATATTTTCCAAACCTGTCTCTAATGTTTCCTCCTGCCTTACAAAACACTGATCTCTTCCTTGCTTTAAGGAAAAAAAATCCAAAGCTACTAATTCCATTAAGTCATGGCCCTATATTTCAATCCCTTTACCCTCAGTCTTTGTAAAATATAATTCTCAACAATTTCCCATAAGCCAATCTCTCCACAGCTTTTTATACTGTGGCTTTTTTTTTTTTAATATATTTGGTTGTTGCAAGATCTCACTATGCAGCTCAGACTCATAGTGATCCTCCTGTTTGCATCCTCCCCAGCACTGGGATTACAGGCAGGCTTGGGCCACTACACCTGTATTCTGTGGCCAGCTCAGCCTGCCCTGGGTGCAGGACTGGCACAGGAGGAGGTGCCGGGGACCAAACCAAGTCGCTGCACTTGCCTAAGCTTGCCTAAGCAGGTGCTTTAGTCTACTGAGCTATCTCACCAGCCCCCTTTACTGTGACTTCTAATATCAGTTCTCTCTGAAGAGTCATTCTCAAATGTTCCCAAAGACCTCCTAATTGCTACTGTGCAGGAAAGAGAAGCCTCAGTGGGCCTGTGGTGCTCATATTCTGCACATCTTCAAGGAAGCCTTCCTTTCAGACTAACCCATGGCTGGCTCCAGAGATGAACACTGAGCCGTTCTAATTTCTGTCAGCTAAGAGCAGATTTTGCATGTCCACAGCTTTGGGCTACATGATCTCAGTTTGATGAAACAATCTACGCTAACAATGCAATTGATGGCGAATCGTTTAATGTTAGAGGCTGAGAGCTGAGTAGCTGGAGTCAGTCCCAGAGGTGTTGCATGCCTGCACGTCTGAGCTCCTATAGAAAACATGGGCATCAAGGTTCAAGTTAGTGCTCCTGCTGGCAACATTTCTCACGTAGGCCACCCCTCACTTCTCTGCGAATTCTTCGTGTCTGCACAACTACCTGGGAAGAGGGTGCTTGGAATCTTGCTCCTGGTTTCTCAGGGACTCCAAACCATGATGAGCTCTCGGTCTTTCCTGATTTTAGCCCATATCATTTTGCCAGACCAAACTGCAACCCAGAATATTATAGTTTGTCTAAGTCCTTCTAAGCAAATCAAATCTGAAGTACTTTGGTGACCTCAACACAGCCATAATCAATGGCCTTTTACCTAAGTTTCTATAGCATCTGAACATTACACCAATTTCTTAAAAATCTCTCTTTTTCATCCTTACATCCAAGACCCCACATAGCTCTAGTTCTCTTCCTGTATCTTGCCCATCCCTTCACTGCCTTGTGTTCTTTTCCTAATCACAAAGTACACAGGTATGCTGCAAGGACATAACTCTTCCAATCACTGTCTTGTTCCAGGTATCCAGACTTGAAGTCTTAAAGTCAACTTTAGCTTTTTCTTTTGCCCTCCTGTTTCATATTTAACATTTGATTAACAAACCCCTACCACAGGTTCTATGGAATTTCTCTCCTTTCCATTCACATTATCACCCCCTAATTCAGGTTTTTCATTTGTGTAATGGTGTTCTTTGTACTGCCTGCTGCTTTCAAATTCCACTGTGCAGGGGGCCAGCCTACCACCCCAACCTCTCTCACCAACTTCCTCTCTCTTCAGTTCCAGCTTCAACTATCCTCCCCACACAAGTACTCTAGACTGAACCTAGAGCCTTTGTACTAATCTGTATCACTAGCTGTCCTCCCCCTTCTCTGCTCCCTTTCTTTTCCTTCTCTTTTTGTTCTCCTCCCTTCCCTTCCCATTTCCCTTCGTCCCTCTCTCTCCCTTTCCCTCTCTCTCCCTTTCCTTCTCTCTCTCTCTCATTCCCCTCCTGTTTTTTTGAGGCTAGGCTCAAATGTGTAATCTTTCTGCCTCAGCCTCCTTATGTGCCGGGGTTACAGGCCCAATCTCTAGTTTCCCATCTCTAGGCCTTCCTCTTGCCTTCCCATTGTTCAAAAAGGCCCTTGACTTTCCATCTGCCAGCATTTTGCCAACATCTACAGCAGCTCTCTTGCACCTGTCTTACAATTCCCATGGTATTTTGAATTTGTTACCATTATTTTCAGACCCCGAATTTGTTGTGGTTAAACCAAATCAACATGTTCTCCACCACTGAAATATCTCAACTTTGTTTTTAAACAACCAAACAGGAAACAGGGAGGAGGTCTTAGTGACTTTCTCACTGCTGGGACAAAATACCTGGCACACACAAGTTAAAGAACAGCTTACTTTGGCTCAGTCTGTATAGGTTTCAGTCCACAGTAAGCTGGGTCCAAGGCAGGGCAGCACAGCAGAGCCGTACAGCAGAGGAGAAACAGCTCATGACATGGCAACAGGAAGCAGAGAGGGACAAGAGAGGAAGGAAGGAGACCCTTCCTGGCCACGCCCAGGGACCCACCTCCTCCAACCAGGCTTCGCCTCCCAACACTATAGCCAGGCATAAGCTCATCAGTGCACTCAT